TTTGCCCGGTTTATGGATTCCTATTACGTCTGCTTCTTTCCAGATATCCGGGAAAGAGCAGCTCGAGAGAAGCGCGTTGAAAATTCCTACGAGGAGGTAAATTAACGGTGCCGGCAGAGATTTGATCACCTTGTTACTGATGCCGTCTGGCCCAGGGGCTGATCTAATCTTAAGGCTTTTTATGGTCTTAGTGACTTCTTCGAAAGTCACGGGATCGAGTGGATCGCCCGCTGGCGGAAACGCAGCCCTACGTTCGATTTCCGCTTCTACCTCTAGCAGGTGAGCGGGATCTGTTGGTACGCTGGATGGGGTACACTGGCTCTCTAGACTGTCGGCTAGGCATTCGGCTTTTTCGAGATCGTCTAAGGCGAGATCGGGGTGGTCGAGCCTCACGAGAGGCGGCATGGGAGCAATTTGCTCTGCTTTTATGGCTTTAGTCAGCCTCCAAAAGGCATCTTGAGATGGTTCTAATCCCTCTAAGAGGTTATCCCATTTATCATTTCTAAATTCTACAACGCGTTGTTTAATCTCGTTTTGCAGAGAACGTAGCCGGATTTTGTTATCTTCCGTGCGATAACGGTCATATGCTTTTAGCGCGGAGTTTTTCGCTCTAATCAGCCGTCGAACGTCTGCCGGAAGCTTTGTGTACCGATCGCTCGACACACGAACCTTACGGGAGCACTCTTCGACCGCTGATGTGAGGTGAGTCGATAGGGCGCTAATCGCCCTATTGGATTCCTCCGGCGAGTCTATCTTGTCCGGTATTGTGTCTAAATGCTGGGAGTTCGTAGACTCAAGTTTGACCTTGAGCTTACGCCAGTCGACGATGGTTTTGGTCTGAGGGACCTCACCAGCCGACCGGCCCAGTTCTAATACGATCGGCCTATGGTCCGAGCATAGTTCGATGAAAGTTTCGATCGAGTTAATGTTAAGCCGGATGTCTTTTAAAATAGCTACGTCAAGGACGTCCGGTTGGTGACTAGTTATAAATGGGTAGTGAGTTGGGCTCTCAGGAGCGATAACGTCGAAGTTAAGTCTCTCCGTGAGGCCGCATAATATGTTTCCGTTTGGATTGTTTAGGTTAGAGTTCCAACTAACGTGCTTACTGTTTAGGTCACCCGCGATTACTACGCTGGGGCCTAGATTTAGTAGTGCCGAGATGTCGGCTTCTAATAAGGGTTTTTGCGGTGGCTGATATGCCGAGGCAATTATGACGGGCGGATGGCCCGTAAGTGCTATTCTACATACCGATGCTTCTAAGTTAGCAAGCGGTGGAGTGTCTAACGGTATACAGTGCAAGGACCTTTTGTAGTAGATCAAGGTGCCGCCTTTAGGTCCGGTCAGCCTATCATTTCTTACTAAGGTATAATTAGCTATTTTGGGATCGCGCACGCTAGGTTTCAAGAAGGTCTCCTGCACTAGCATGATGTCGACATCATGATCGCGTAAAAAGTACACGATTTCTTCCTTTTGATCTCTGATGCCGTTTGCGTTAAAGAACGCGACAGTCAGTGAGCTAGGTTTGGTTCTGCCTGTATGTTGTACTGCCATTTTGTTTTAGAGAGATTATTATTTAAGCGCATTGGAATGAACCGATCGCGTCGATGAGATTGATATGCTCAATGGTGGCATTGAGCTTATCTTGAGCGGATTTGGCCTCGCGTAGTTTACGGGCCAGGGAAGACACTTCGGCAACATTAATATTGTTGAAGAAGCTGCAGACTAACGAAAAGTCAGCAGCGAAGGTAGAAGATGCCTGAGGGGCAAGTTTGGGCTTTTGAGCCTGGAGAGAGGGCGCTGGCCGTGAGGCGGCCGCGCTAACAATCGCCGGGGGCTTAACCCATGCGTTCGACGCGGGTGCTGAAGGCACCGATGAGCTTACACCTTGCCCGGAAGACCCTTTAGCGGGGGCGGGTTTGGTGTGAGGCTGAGGGGGCGCGGGTTGAGACACCGAGATCGGTGCTAATGATGGGGCATGTTGCCTAGGACGGGACCTACTAGCGCTAGCCGCTCGTCCGCGCCGGTTTGCGCCTCCGCGCCACTTTCTACGCGGCGCTTTGGTACACCCGCGATAGTTCGCTGGGTGTCCCGCTTCGCCGCACAGAACGCAGCTCGGAGGGCCTTCCGACTCGGGCGTTCGGGTGCACTCGGGTGTGCCGTGGTCACCTAGACACTTAACGCATCTAGGTTTCGCATAGCAATTTTTGGCCGAGTGGCCATACAGTTGGCATCGGTGGCATTGACCAACGATGCCCCTATTACGGGGGGCCTCTACCGTAATCCCAGTGAGATTACAGATTCGGCGAATATTGTATATTTCTTTCCCTTCCGGGGACAGGTCTAAGATAACTAGACAAAGGTCTAGGTATCTTTTTTTGTCGGTGGGGTGGTGCATTCTGTGCACTTCCCTAACCGGGAGATTCTGCGATTTAAGATCGCTTAAAATGTGCTCGGTTTCGAGCTCCTTAGGGAGCCCGCGAACGACTACGCGGAGGTTGCGTTCTTCCGCAAGGGCGTAAGTATGGAAGCTCAGTTTCTGAACTTTGAGATGCGCAGTTAAAGCGCGGAAGTCATCCGTCGTTGAGACGTGGATGCGTATGCCCTGGCCACCATTGTGGACCTTTGGGCAGAAGATTTTTTTGGAGTCAATCCAATGCGAAAGGTTGCTCCATCGGGATTTATCCTGAAGGATGATCGGGGGCGGCGGTTTTTCCTTGCGCACCGCGGCAGGTTCAGAGTTCGCGATTTTGGCGATTTTAGGGCGCGCTGAAGGCGCGGTCTTTTTAGCCGGAGTGGCGTTAGGTGACGACGACGGGGACGAAGGGGCCGAGTGAGGCTCGGCGCCCTTTTTCGCGGCGGGACGTTTACGTTTTTTGCCCGAGACTACGGTGAAGCCTTCGTCATCGGGCATGGCGGGTTTCGCGACGTCGAACTCCATTTCGGAGCCCGTCTCGGCGTCCGAGAACGCCGGGGACGGCCCACGAGTGGAGAGCGCAGAAGGCGCGGGGGATCCTACGTCATAAAGCGTTTCTACGGACGCGGGGGTCGCGGGTCCGGTGCTGGGCGACATAGGGTCGTCCACCAACACGGTCGGACGTTCAGCAGCGGGCGTTTGGCGTTGCGCTAGAAAGGTCGCCCAAACGTCGGGGCACGCACGACTGAAAAAGTCGGCGAGTTCGGCTATGGTTATAGCCGCCATCTTGTCTTGTTTTTAAGAAAACACTTGTGTACCAAGCTCCCCCACCTCACGGCGGGGGAGGTGTGTGCTTAAACGAACACCTATATACCTAACGCGTTGGTACGTTAGGGTGTGTACCTAGCTGTCGCCTAATGCGACAAGCGAACACAGAGATTAATACAATAACAATATAATAGCCGCCTCTGAGGCGGCACGGCGGTGTGTAATAAACTACTTACAGTTTTTACTGGAAATTGGCAGAGCGTGGGGCACTACACTAATCCCTAACACAATAGAACAATGGGCCGGCGGGCCGATGCAACCTGACGGCGGCAATGACGCACAACACCACTGAAGCACTTCGAGCACTTAATCCTTTTATTGTCTTTTTTTTCGCACAATTGCAACTTGGTAATTCGGGAGCGCATGGGCTCGACCGAAGAATACGTCCGCGCGGCTTGAGCGCAGACAACCGAATCTTTAATCTAATTTTCTAATTTTTTTAAACTCGCGACGTTCCTTTATATAGCCAGCATCGATTCGCCACTAGGTGGGGTGGGGATCGCGAACGCAACACGTTTGCGCGGTCGGTCCGGTCAGACTTTTAGTTAGTTGGAAAATCTCAAGTCAGAGTTGGGAGTTGGGAGTTGGGAGTTGGGAGTCGGGCAGTCGGGCGAGGGCGAAACGAATGTACTTGTAAAGAAGAAAAAAAGAAGAATACTAGGTAGCAGCAATAGGATATAACGCGTTAGAATAGAATAGTATAATATATCGTCGTCGAAGAGGAAGAAAAACGAAAAACTGTAACAAGAAAATTAGGGAGTGTGAAAGTGATAATATTATTTATATACATAATATTATACGTGTTACGTTCGTGTAGGGTCTCGTCGCGTCGCGTCGCGTCACGTCGCGTCGCGTCGCGTCGCGTCGGTCGGTCGGTCGGTCGGTCGGTCGGTTCGGTTCGATTCGATTCGATTCGATTCGGTTGTGTTATCTATTTTACCTAGGCACCTATTAAAATTTTTTTAAAAGTGTGAACGTAGTACGTTGAATTCGTTGAGTAGGTGGTGTGTATATATATATATATATATATATATATAGAGGTATTTAGTGTTTCGTAAATTGTTGTAACGCATTTACGACGCATCTACGTTTATTGTTTTAATATACGTGTATTTAGCTTATTCGAATTTATATACCTACTTAGTTAAATCGTTATCGTGCGTTCATAAGTTGTGCGTTCGTTATTTCGTTGCAATGTTTACATAATTACATAATATTTTATATTATATTATATAGAACTGCCTGACAGACTGATTTGATTGAAGTGAGGGACGGTGCGATATATATAATATAGGTAGGTAATATATATAATAAGGCAATCATTATGATTGACGCGTGACGTATAAGAAACTCATAGGAAATTTTTGTTAGCCCTGAAAAGGGCTTTTTAGCATTGCGGTCGCTCGCGCATATTCGTATACGACGCGACACACGTACACCATTTATTTTTATAGGTATTATTTATAAGAATAAAATAAAAATAAATAGGCCCGATGCCGCGGCGCTACGAGGCACTCGCGTTCACCCGCGAGGATCCTTCTCCCGTCCCGTCCGTCCCGTCTTGCTGTCACTCTGCCTGCCTGCTTGCCTTCCTACCTACCTACCTACCTACCTACCTACCTACCTACCTGTCTCTCAGCAGCATCAGCCTGCATGCACTACACAATCACATACGCGCGTGACAATTACGCGTACGAGTACGTACGTAGGTAGGTACGGCGGCGGTGGTTATGACGACGGAAGGCGGTGACAGCGGACCTTACTTTTTAGAAGCGGCTGCCTTCTTCGATGCCGCCGCGGAAGACTTCGATTTGGGTGTTGCCGCCTTCTTCGGTTTTGGAGCCTTAGGTTTCTTTGTCGGTGGTTTGGCGCTCTTTTTCGCCTTCGAAGCGGCGCCTTTCGCCTTAGAAACGCCGCTTTGGCCAGCGGTTGCGGATTTTCTTGCGGCTGCCGGCTTCTTTTTCGCGGCGGCCGCCTTCTTGTCCTTGGTAGCTGCAGACGGTTTTGCCTTAGACGGTGATGATGCGGTCGCTGCCGATGCTGTCTTTTTACCCTTACCCGCGGCGGTGCTCTTCTTCACCTTCGCCGACACCGAGCTAGCGGCGGACGCGCCGCTCTTTGCGCCACCGCTGCTCTTACCCGTCGACGGTTTCTTAGAGGCGGACGATTTTGATTCAAGCTTAAAGGAACCGGAAGCCCCCTTGCCCTTTGTCTGTATAAGCGCACCCGATTCGACTGCGCTCTTCAGGTACTTTCTGATGAACGGAGCTAGTTTTTCAGCGTCGACTTTATATTGAGCGGCAATATATTTTTTTATCGCTTGCAAAGATGATCCACTGCGCTCTTTCAGCTCTTTAATTGCGCTGGTGACCATTTCGGAAGTCTTCGGATGAGTGGGTTTCGCCTTGGGCTTCTTTGCACCACCTGCTGCAGTAGCGGCGGCCTTCGGTTTTTTCGCCGGAGTCGCCGGAGCGGGAGTTTCGGAAGCTACTGCTGTATCTGCCATTACTTCGTAGTAGTAGTATTAGATCACAAACGAACTACAAACACTGACTCACACAACTCGCGATAGATGATAATAACAAAGGAAAATTGTAAATTGTTGTTATATATCGTACACAAATTGATATTACGTAGGATAATACACAGGTGGCGACACCTACGTTGTCGTCTGCTGAGGTGTGTGTACTACACCCAACAGGTCTCGGGCCTCGGGGCTGACCCCATTGCCCGGAATCTCCTCGCGGTGCATAACTATGCACCGGTCGTGGGAGCCGTTTCGGCATTGTTAGATGCTATAGTGATACGGGTTTGGTTCCCCGGTCACTATTTTCAGTTTAAAGTCTTCTTCCAAAAATTTTTTCAGGAGGCGGGTAATATGGCCCGCTCCTGAAAACGTGGCATTATATGGCCTTTTTTCCTGAAAAGGCGCCTAATTCGGCCTAAGCCTGAAAAAGACGCCTAGTTCGGTATATGGTTATCTGGTAAGTTTGTGTGTCAAGTCAATATGGCCGGCGGCTAATGCGGCCGGCCGTCTGGGTTGGCCTGTCTGCGGCATTGCGGGTTATTACTCGACTCTCTAATCTCTATAGAGAGGAGTTCTCTTGGCAGAGGTCGCCCGTCCGGTGGTCGAGCATGTAGGGGAGCAAAATTTTGTAGATGTTCGTGTGGCCCGTTATCAGCGCGGTCGAACATACCGCGCGCTAATCGGGCCACAAATTCCTTGATTGTTTCCATCTTAAGGTTCGCCGCGATGACGTCGTTCCGGACGTAGCGACCTGCACCGACGATGGTTCGTAGACTTAGGTTCTGCTGAACCTGCAGCCGCTGCCTCTGCCGTTCGCTCAGAAGTGCGTACCAGGCCGGCGCGGCATAGGTGATCTTTGTGCGTATGTATAACTTATAGATTTTCAACTTTGTTCTCAGCGGTAGTTTGGATGCCAGGACCGGACGGAGCGCCGTCCGCGCACATCTGGCATTGCGGACGACGATGTCGACGTGCGCGGTCATGCGCAGCATCCTGTCGATCCGGCACCCAAGGTAAGTCACGGCCTTTTCGTACGCAATCTCCTGGCCTCTAAGCGTCAACGGGGGCGGGAAGTTCCGGTAGCGGCGGGTGAGGAGGGCGGCCGTTTTCCCAACGTTTACAGCCATCCTCCACTCATCCAGCCACGATGGCAGCAGGTCCAGCAGGCGCTGCATCTTGGCGACGGCGAGATGGGGGCTTCTGGACGAGGCGAAGTAGGCGCTGTCGTCCGCATATAACGCCAGCTCCACGTCGTCCTCCCATTCGCGTAGATGTCCAGCCAAAGTAGGGATGTCATTTGTATAAGCCGCGTACAGGATCGGTGAAAGACAACTGCCCTGTGGTACGCCAGCTCTTATGGGTTTTACTGCGGATTCGGCATCTTCGACACAGACGTAGAAGCTCCGGTCGGCTAGAAACGACGCCACTAGCCGCAGCATAGCCGGAGGGACACTCGTCTGTTGTTCCATCTTAAAGAGTAAACCAGAGTGCCACACCCTGTCGAACGCCTTCTCGATATCGAGGAAGACGCCCAACGATGTGCGATCCCGGTTGTATTCGGCCGACAATAGGTGCAGCACTCTGGTCAGCTGTGTTGCTGCGGAGTGTCCGCTCCTGAATCCATGTTGCTCCGCCCGTAATTTGATACACGGGCGGATTCTTCTTAAGGTGATACGTTCGAATAATTTGGCTATGTGCGGTAGCAGCGTTATTGGTCTGTAACTAGCTGCTCTACGCCTGTCCTTCCCGGGTTTCGGCAGCACTATCACCTTTCCTTTCTTCCATTCCTCCGGGAAGTGTGAAGTCCGCAGTATGCCATTGTAGAGTCGTCCTAGCTCTACAATGGCTCTATGGGGCAGTTGTCGGAGTGCAGCGTTCGTAATCCGGTCGTGCCCCGGCGCCTTCCTCGGTTGCAGGCGGGAAATCGTCCTCCGCATTTCAGCGGGGGAGATGAACCATTCTCCTGCAAGCGGTGGCGCGGGCGACGACAGGAACTCCCGTACGCGGCTCTCCTTTTGGGCATGAAGCTCCATGTACTCCGCACTTGCTGGGTTCGGCATAAATTGCTCCTCGAAATGCTCGACTAGGATATCCGCTCTACCTTTGGCCTCGTAACAACGCCCGCCCGCGCTGTTGGTCAGCGGGCAGACGGGGGATCTGGTCTTAGTTAGCTGTCGGTTCAATTGATAGAGCGACGCTTCCTGATCTCCAGCCTTCCATATGCGCCGCTCCCAGGCCCTTCCTCTGTAGGCCTGTATTGCAACCGACAGCTCATCCGTCAGTGCATTTAATCTCGTTTTAATCCTTGGGCAGCGCGTACGTGCCCAGAGCTTCCTCAACGCTCGCTTGTGATTGAGCTGCGCACGTAGTTCTTGTGGCAGCTCTTCTCTTCGATTTGTTAGAGGGACGATCGTAGAGGCCGCGTTGAGGGCTTCTTGGATGTTGTTAGTTATTCTGGCAGCGGCGGTCTCTACGTCGTCCGCCGAGGTGATCGATGTAATCACTGGAGGCCTCTCCTGCAGGTGTTGCTGGTAGAGCCTCCAGTTAATCTTGGTAGTAAACGCTCTGGGCAGCGTAGTCACTGCCTTGAGGCCAAGTGTTATCAGAATCGGGAGGTGCTGAGACATCAGGTCATACAGCACCTCTACCACTACCGGGTAGTTGACGTTCCTAGCGAGCACAATGTCCAATACATCCGGACTTTTCCTGTGGTCTGTTGGAACGTGTGTTGGTTCTTCGGGACCTAAAACGTCGTAGTTGTTTCTTTCTGCATCTTCGTAAAGTTCACGACCCGGCGGGTTGATCAATCTTGATCCCCATGCCGGGTGTTTTGCGTTTAGGTCCCCCGCGATGATGGTTGGTGTTGTGCCTTCCATGATCGTCCGGATGTCTGAGGAGTGAAATGGAGTCCCTGGCGGACGGTATGCTGCGAAGATCCTCAGTTCCTCGCCCGCCGCCTCCATTTTTATGCCGATGGAGCGCGTCGTATGGTATGACGGTAATCCGAGCTCTAGGTGGACGATGTCCTTTCTCACTAGAACCGCCGTGCCTCTATAGGCGGTTCCTAGAGCGTTGACCTCGTCCCTCCTGTAGATGTGGTAGTTGGGCATCTTCACGTGCGTAGATGGCCTCAACTTTGTCTCCCCCAGCAAAATTACGTGTATGTTTTGTTGTTGAGCTATAGTGCGGAGTTCATGGAGCTTGTACTGGATACCGTCCGGGTTCCAGTATAGCAAGCGCAGGTTCGTATCACTCGCCTCTGTAGTGCCGAGCCAGTAGTGTCGACAGTGCTTTCATCACTGCTGTTATTGGGTCGGTGCCAGCTCTGACGTCTGCCAGTACCTGGCTACCGACCTCTATGGCGATGCCAACCAGCCTCAGGATTGCGTCCGTGGTGGTAGAGTTGGCGGTTGGTTGTCTTGATGTTGAAGGTACTGGTCTCGGCTGGGCATAGGTCTCTTTTCTTAAGGTAGAGCGCGCTCTATGTGTAGAGCGGGCTCTATTTTCTGATAGAGCCCTTTCTGGCGCTCTACCTTCTGTAGTGGTTATCTTCTTGATTGCCTGCGCTTGCGAGGCTATCATTACTGTTGGTGTCGGGGTAGAGGTCGCTGCCTGAGGAGGAGGCTGCACCTTCTTCTTCTTCTTCCCCCGCTTTTTCTTCCTAGAGGGTTGCCTCTCTATGGCGTCATTGGCGGGGGGCTGTAGAGTCGCCCCGGTGGTTGCTCTTGCAACTTCCACCGTTTCTGGTACTGGTGGTGCAGGTGGTGCAGTAGCGGGTGGGGGGGGGGCGTTTTGCCTCCCTCTCCCCCTGATGGTTGCCCACCCGTCCTCTTGGATTTCAACCCTCGGGCGACTCTGAGGGACCCTCTGCGGTGCTTCCGGCAGTAAACCCGGCAGAGTGATCCCTTGCTTCCTGGCGATCCTCCTCAGGACTGGGCAGCGTCTGTCGTTAGCTGTGTGGCTTTTTGCGCAATTTGCGCACGTCGGTGGTTCTTCTCTACCCCGGGGGCAATTACTTGCAATGTGTTCCCCTGCACAGCGGACACATTTCACGGGTCGATGACAGTTGGCAGATGCGTGGCCAAAAGCCTGGCAACGGTGGCATTGAGCCGGTCCCACTCGTCCTTGCCAGGCTTCTATGACGACTCCTTTCATGAAAAGGAGCTCGTCGACTGCGTACAATTTATTCAGGTTCTCTATGTTCAAATGGTCCAGCTGTGCATAGTAGAGGCACCCAGGTCTGCCTCTACGGGGCGGGATCGCTCTCACATAGTTAATTGGAAATCCTTTTGCCCTGATAGCCTCGGCGATTTGGACGGTATCCGTGCCCACTGGCAGCCCCCGGATGCCCACTTTAGTGGGCTTCTCCTCCGCCGGGGTGTAGCAGTACCACGACAACGCTGGTACTTTCTCGGTGAGCTCGACGAGGTATCTTTGTATTGCCCGGAATTCTTCCGGGCTCTGTGGGGTGAATCTGACACCCTTCCCGAACGGACGAGCGTTAGGTGGATGTCCTAATTTTTTGTTTAATATTTCGAAGTGCTTCGTCCAGTCCGGGAGGCACTCCGCAACGATCGGTGGGTATCGCGCCTTCTCTTCCTCTTGTTGGGGTTGAGGGGCTTCTGTTGTCGGTTTCGGTACTGCTGGCGTCGCTGCCAGTTGGGCGTAACTGGTAGACGGCCTTTGGCCGTCATCCTGTGTAATGCCCGATGGATTTGTAGGTGCCGATGTTTGCCCGGCGGTCGCTATGGTAGCGTAGGATGTAGAGTCCCAACCATAGGACTCCTCTCCTCCCTGCTCGAACTCGGTCGCGTCCATGGTCCTGCGGCCGGGTGAGGTGGGGGGGGTTGGCTTCAGTGGTGAAGGCGATTTGGGCGGCGATCTATGCGTCCTAACTACCTCCTTCCTGGTTGGGGCTCTCTCATCTTCTTCCGACTCCGCCGAGGACGATGATGATGCTGGTGTTGATTGTCCAGATG